CACCCCCAGTGGTTCCTCACAGGGTTTGTGTTCCCAGCCCCTCACCAGCCTCGTTACCTCCTCTGGGTGTGCTCAAGCGTCTCCAGGTCCTTCCCAAACTGAGGGGCCAGAGCTGGACACAGCACTCAAGGTGTGGCCTCACCAGTGCCCAGTGCAGGGGAGAATGACCTCCTTGCTCCTGCTGGCTCCTCTTGCTCCTGGTAAAACACCTCACAATAGCCATTAGTTCCTTTGTTCTCTTATTTTTCTAGTAAATTGCTTAGGCAGGACTTTTTGGCTTCTGTCCAGTTGGCTATCCTTAAGTTTGAGGTGAAGTCACTTCGGAGCTTTTTTGCTTTTCAAGGAGACAAAGGATAATTTTGTCACTCCATCAACAGGGGGCACATTCCTACAGGCCTGGTCCTCCTCTGGGAATCCAGTGGAAAAGAAAGCTTCTCCTCTGGGAATGCAGTGGGAAAAGTCTGCCTATGGTGTTCCAACTCTCTGATAAAATCCAGGAGGGAATGCTTGGCTCCTCCTCCTGGACAGAGCATCTCACAATGGGATGCTGTAATTTTATCAGCCATGCAGTGACACACAATGCCCCATTAACAGAAGGTCTCTCCCAGAGGGAGGATGGGTCATGGAAGAGATAAAGAAACACTGCCTCACCTGGTTTTAACAGGTAGCCCAATTAATAGAAGAAACTGCCCCACATCTAACACATAGCAGTAGAACACACACCCCCAGCCACATCTTGCATTTGCAACCTAAGACAATTCTCGTTCAGGCATCAGCAATGGAAAAGCATCATCAAGTAAAATCCATTAGCTCTAATCAGTGGAATTGATGTGCTGGCTGCAAACATCTCTGAGAGAGGATGAGAGTAAATTAGGAAAAAAAAATCTGTTTTTAAATGACAGCCACCATGGCAGGAACAAGGAATTCCTTCTCCAGCCTCCTCTGGGAAAAGCGTACAGCCAAGTGTGATGCCACATTGGGGGACATGGGGTGGCCAAGCACATAGGTGTCATTCAGCATCAGACTACCTCAATCTGGGACATAATCCTACCAAAAAGTTATTATTAGGAAGAAATTCCTCCCTCTGAGGATGGCACTGGCACAGATTCCCCAGAGAAGCTGTGACGCATCCATCCCTGGAAGTAATGGACAAGACTTGGAGCAACCCAGTATAGTGGAAGGTGTCCTTGCCCATGGCAGGGAATGCAACAGGATGATCTTTAAGGGCTCTGTCAACCCAAACCACTCTGTGATTGTATGATCATGCTAAAGGAAACCATGCTGTGGTACACACCAGAGCAAGACAAATATTTTGCAGCCCCCAAAATCACCACAGCCCCAAGCAGTGATTCTGTGTCAAGCACCCCCTGTGCAACAATAACCAGGATGTTTTGGAAGCTGATTAATAAGGTACCTGATAAACCTTCTTCTCCTGGCATCCTGACATGAAGCCAGGGAACCGTTCAGTCAAACCTAAGCTATTGGAGACCATCTAGGGACATTTTTGGTAGCTTCTTCTCCATTTTGTGATGGCATGAAGAGCAAGATGACTGGCAATGACCATGGGAGCAGATGTTTCTATCTCTACAGGATCTGATGACAAAGGTGGACTGCCTTCCTTTCTCACACCACCAGCTGGCATCTCATCACCTGCTGTCTGTACACATCCTCCCCCACACCCAACACACACATATCCACCAGTTCTTTTAGGAAATAATGCTATGGCATTGTGAGAACAGCACAGCAAAGCTCAGGGCAAGACTTTATGGGAGTGCACCGCGGGTTTATTTAGGGAAAACACAGCCTACAGTGGTAGCCATCACAAAGGCAGGCACCTAACTCCTTAGTAATCACTGATGAGAGTCAGAGGAAGGGGATGGCAGCTCATCCCATTGCTCCCAGGAGATCACTGACAAAAGCTGGAATGAAGCAAAAATGAGGAATAAAATCAGGTAGGAGCCTCACATCTTCTTAGGAGCCTTTTCCCTCCATTTTATAGGAATGGAGATGCCCAGGGCTAAAGGCAGGTGAGACTCCATCTCCAAAGGCAGAGCCAGGCCACACTTGCAGCTCCCTCTGTGCACAGTGCTCAGCTCCACAGTGCCCCAGGGAGATGCAGGAAAGCTCCATTTGCTCTGCCTCTTCCAGGCACTCCCTCTGCTCTGCAGGACATGTCCTGGCACCAATCCCTCCCATGGCCAGCATCTCTCACCAGGCACAAGAGAATATGACAACACTGCAGGTGACAATTTAAAGGGGAGTTTTAGTGGCCTCTCACATCTTCAATCATTTTATAATCATGCACAGCTTCTTCCTGGTGGGTTCACAGGGTTCAGCCTGGGGTGTTCTTGTTTTCCTTGCCAAATGTGCTTACGATTCATGTATGTTGTGAGAGTGTTTTGAGGCCAAATGGGACAGGAGCCAAAGCAAATCCATATCAGAGTGCTGCATAAAGAGAATAATTGAAAGGCATAAAAAAAAAAAAATTGACCAATAAATCAAGTGCTCCAAAGTACATCAAATTCTTTAATGAAAATCACTGGCATAACACAGCCAGAATAAGAAGTGATTTCATCACAGGTAGATTGCTCCACTGAGTAACAATGGCCACTGACAGAGGTGTTACAGAAGATGACTTATTGAGAGATAAAAGGAGCTTAATTTTCCCAAACTAAACACAAGCCATAGGAGATTGAACAAATGATTGCATGTAACTGAAAAGGGAAAAGCCAAGGGGAATGTGGTTGGAGCTCTGTCATGGACCAAGGTGTGCAAATGCCTGAGTGGGTTAGGAAATAAGACTGATTAAGGTATCAAGATATTAGATACAGAGATCAGAGCTCAGTGTTTGGGCATGTCTGAATGGTTAGCAAGTCCTGAGACACAGCTCTGCTCTTCCCTAAAACAGGAAGGAGGAGGCTGGGGGGGATGGACACCTTCTTTCTCTATATAACTTCCTGACAGGAGCCAGGAGAGGGTCAGTCTTCTCACAGGGAACAAGAGACAGGATCTGAGGAAAAGGCTTCAAGTTGTTTAAATTGAAAATCAGGAAAAAATTATTTTCCAAAAGGATTGTTGAGCCCTGGAACAGGCTGCTCAACAATCTGTGTTGTGGTGGAGTCCCCATTACTGGAGGGATTTAACAGACGTGTGGATGTGGCACCTGGGGACATGGGTTAGTGGTGGCCTTGGCAGTGCAGGTGGAATGGTAGGACTCCCTGAACTCAGAGATCTTTTCCAACCTAAATCATTCTGTGATTCAGAGATTTTAAGTCACAGCTTCTATTTTATCTATACTCAGCAAGGAGATGCATCTCTTTCAGTTCCTCCTGAGGGGAACTCTGTGATTCCTCTCTTAATTAAGCAGAAGTTTTCGAAGTCCTCCATAAGTATTTCTTTTTCTCTCCTCAGTTAAGAAAGTAGAAAGACAAAAAGCAAATGACATAACCACAGCATGGCAGGACATAAATATTTATTACCCAGCTGAGCATTGCTTAACTCCTTGGTCAGGTCTTCTATGGGCAGCATGTTCCAGGGCTTGAAAACTGTTCTAGGGAAGGAATTTTCCCTAATAAGCAATCTAACCCCTTCTTGGTCCCACCATCCACCTCTCTGACAATGCTGATGTTACAGAGTCCAGGAAGACCAGGAGTCCTGGGCCCACAGATCTCCCCACAGAATTCTGGAAATCACTGATGGTTTCTCATCAGAAAACATCCTGTCTCCAGGTAACAGTGCTGAAAGAAGTAAAAACCTCTTTTGCTTTCTTGAAGCAGTCAGCCTCCTGACATTTGCAGTCGAAGACAAAAGATGGGGAGAGATTTGAGTGAAATCCAAACCAGTTTTAGCTCAATTACAGCAACCAATGCTTTTAGGAAGAGATCCCTAGGGGTTTCACCAGAGCCCTGTTATCCTAGTGATTTGGGGAAACTGAGTCTAACAGATGCCTCATAGTCCAGCATCTTCCTAGGCCTGACAAAGGGGAGGGATTATTTTTCAGCTAACGTCTCTGATTTGCTTCTGCCAAAGGTTGTTATTAGTTTTATTTTGTAATTTTTGGCTGCAGGGACCTTGGGATTTGAAATGCCCCTTAGACATGTGAGTGAAGCCTTTGTAGATGGCCAGTGCTTTCACAGTGCTCATTGTTTAGTTCACAGTATTATTCTCTATCCTGGTTACAGTGAGACCTTTGGTTTTTCCAGCCCTCTGATGAGATGATTTTGTTGCTTATCTGAGGGGCTTGTCAGTTCCTTGAGGATTTTTTCCCCCAGATTTCTAAATTTTTTTCCCATATAGTCAATTACATCTCTTTGCACTTGACAAGGCAGAGGCTCAGACTGTGCACCTGCTTGGAGATACAAATGCAAATCAGGAGGAGTATTTCCTTTCTGTATACAAATGTGTGCAAGGATGCACATGGAAACCCACGTGCCCCATCCATCCACCATCCACCCATGCCTTGGCAGAGGCATGAGGCTCATGTTCCCTGTGCTCAGCAGTGAAACACCCTTGTGTTATCTCCCCCCATCCTTGGCTGAGACTGAAACTTATCCACATCACATCACCTGTGAACAAAAGTGACCTGCCTGTGCTCATCCCTTCTGCTTGTCCCTTCCTGCTGTGCACAGGGTGATTTGTAGGGGAAGGGGAAAATAAAACTGGCTTATAAGCCTCATTGTCTCTGCCAATATCCAAATATTGAAAAATTTGAAAGAGACAGGATCTTTTGAAAGCAGGATTGGGTCCTGAATGGAGTTTACTTTCCAGATTTGGGTGGAAGAAGCATAAAATTGTCACCATCTAACAATGTTGTGAGTCATGATGGTATAAAGTCCATGACACCTCCCTCTGCTCCCTGTATGGAATGGTGCTGAGTGCAGCCACCACTGTGAGGATGTTGCACAATCCCTTCTACTGTAACACTGGGCAGATATTGACTTTGCACTTTGCATTCACCACTTGCTTCCTTCTCCTTGCGAGCCATGCATGCAGAGGCCAAGATGAAAATTGAGTTTGCTCCGCGGTCTGTGCCGCTTCAGAGGAGGCTTCAGACAGCAGCAGTGGCTCAATGGGTCTGCAGCTTCCTGGGTCTAGGTAAGAGACATCTCTCTTTCCTTTTGCTGAGAAACCAGAGAAGCTTTCCATAGAACTGCAGTATGGTTTGGGTTGGAAGGGACTTTAAAGATCATCCAGTTACAATCCCCTACATTTTTCTGCAGCATTCTGATATGGATTTGCTTTGGCTCCTGTCCCACTTGGCCTCAAAACACTCTCACAACATACATGAACCATAAGCAAGTTTGGCAATGAAAATGAGAACACCCCAGGCTGAACCTGGTGAACCCACCAGGAAGAAGCTGTGCATGATCATAAAATGATTGAAGATGTGAGAGGCCACTAAAACTCCCCTTTAAATTGTCACCTGCAGTGTTGTCATATTCTCTTGTGCCTGGTGAGAGATGCTGGCCATGGGAGGGATTGGTGCCAGGACATGTCCTGCAGAGCAGAGGGAGTGCCTGGAAGAGGCAGAGCAAATGGAGCTTTCCTGCATCTCCCTGGGGCACTGTGGAGCTGAGCACTGTGCACAGAGGGAGCTGCAAGTGTGGCCTGGCTCTGCCTTTGGAGATGGAGTCTCACCTGCCTTTAGCCCTGGGCATCTCCATTCCTATAAAATGGAGGGAAAAGGCTCCTAAGAAGATGTGAGGCTTCTACCTGATTTTATTCCTCATTTTTGCTTCATTCCAGCTTTTGTCAGTGATCTCCTGGGAGCAATGGGATGAGCTGCCATCCCCTTCCTCTGACTCTCATCAGTGATTACCAAGGAGTTAGGTGCCTGCCTTTGTGATGGCTACCACTGTAGGCTGTGTTTTCCCTAAATAAACCCGCAGCACACTCCCATAAAGTCTTGCCCTGAGCTTTGCTGTGCTGTTCTCACAATGCCATAGCATTATTTCCTAAAAGAACTGGTGGATATGTGTGTGTTGGGTGTGGGGGAAGATGTGTACAGACAGCAGGTGATGAGATGCCAGCTGGTGGTGTGAGAAAGGAAGGCAGTCCACCTTTGTCATCAGATCCTGTAGAGATAGAAACATCTGCTCCCATGGTCATTGCCAGTCATCTTGCTCTTCATGACATCACAAAATGCAGCAGAAGCTACCAAAAGTGTCCCTGGATGGTCTCCAATAGCTTAGGTTTGACTGAAAGTTGCCCTGTGAGGATGCCACTCCCTCATGTCAGGATGCCAGGAGAAGAAGGTTTATCAGGTACCTTATTAATCAGCTTCCAAAACATCCTGGTTATTGTTGCACAGGGGGTGCTTGACACAGAACCACTGCCTGGTGCTCTGCTCAAAGTCAGTGGTGATTTTGGGGGCTGCAAAATATTGGTGTTGCTCTGCTTTGTACAACACCATGGTGCCTTTAGCACAATCATACAATCACAGAGTGGTTTGGATTGATAGAGCTCTTTAAGATCATCCTGTTGCATTCCCTGCCACGGGCAAGGACAGCTTCCACTATACTGGGTTGCTCCAAGTCCCATCCAACATGGCTTTGAACAGTGCCCCAGAGATGGGGCAGCCACAACTTATTTGAGCATTCTGTGCCAGCATTTTTGGCTTCTTCTCACCACCTGATCAGAGCAGGGTGGCACTAAGGAAGTGCATGGCTGATTGCCTATGCATGGGAATATTTACAGGTCTTTTGCAGCATCTAAAGCGGGTTGGGTTTTCTGCTTGTCTTGCTCTTTAGGTTTAGAGTTTTCGTGGTTTAAGGTGTTGCTCTGCTTGGTGTTAGGAATGAGAAATAGAATTACCATGCTTGAGGAATGGTACCATAGGAGGAATATTGGTGACTCTGCTTGTCTAGCCCTGGGAACAGACCCTTCACTTTTTACAGATGCCCCTGCACATTCTAGAAGGTCATTTTTCCAAGAAAACCCAAACAGTTTGAGGAAAAGACACATCAGCAGACTGAGATGCAGACAAAGTCACTGCCTGGTGGAGGGCATCAGGTGCTGATGGAAATGACACAGGTGCTGTTTTGGATGGGATGCACAGGGAAATGATGATGGGAGACAGAGAGGCACATTATCAGTGGAGTGGAAAAACTGCCTAGGGACATTTACAGCCCATCAGGCTGGAACATGGCAATTCTTGCTAGTTTTATGGAAATTAAAATATCAGAGGTAGGTTATCCGTGTAAAATGTCTGGGGCCATTTACAGCCCATCAGGAGCCAAGCTGAAAGGTAACATCACAGAGCTTCCCATTGTTATGCCAGTTGTGAATCTCAGATGGAATGTGTGTGAAGCTCCTCCTTTGCTGTGGCAGGACAGCTGCTGACTAGCCCAAAACACAGCAGATCTTTGTACACAAACATCTCCAGAACTGTACCTGCACAGAAAGCACAGGCTGTGCTTCAGACTCCCACTCAGTTTCTGAGATGGGCCCTTCCAAAATCTGCTGCAGACCTGAGCCTGCATGACCACCTTTGCACCAGTATCTGATGGACCAGAGGAGTGTGCAATACGGGTCCAGACACCCTGCCTTTAGCTCTTTAAATGTTTCTTGGTGTAGGATTGGCTCATGCTGTGTCAGGAAAATTACTCCACAAACATCAGAGGTTTATGTCCAAAAAGGAGACAGAGGAGTCCTTTTACCTTATTCGAATAAAGGGAGAGGCCATGGGGCATTCCCCTGGGGTCTCTCAAATTTTTAAAGGACACATCCTCCTTTTTATCCTAATTTCCTGGGCACATTTCCCTCTCTCTTTCCCCATTGGCTGAGGTACTTGAGAGGTACAGACTTCCTGAAACACCTAATACCTAAGACACCCTTCTAATGTATTCTCCCCAGGCCCTTTTTTTTTCCTTGTATCAATCAGTGGAATTCCTAAGGAATTTATGGTTTTTCCAATTGTTTCTGTCATCTCTGAGTATTAAGTTTTATTTATCAGCAGACCTACAGTTTATTTGTAAAGACAACTCTATCTCATTCCATTCATCAATCAGTGGAATCTTTCCCATTGTTTCTTTTAGCTCTCTCAGTGCTAGTTTTATCTACTAGCAGACCCACAGCTTGTTTGCAAAGACAAATCCCTCATTCCTTTCAATCTTTCCTGTTTTATTTTCTCAGTAATTGTCTTTACAAACTTAAGTTATAATTTACTTATTTTTCTGTTCCTGGATCTCTTTTGGTATTGCAATTATTTGCAGCAACATAATTTTCTGTCCTTTTGTAGCTATTTCTGGATCAGTGGGCATGGCTACTACCTGCATCCCTTTGATCACATGTTGAATAAGTTGCACTAAGCAAGGGATCATGCCTGGTAAAAAGATTAGAGTTGCTATAGCACAAAAGAGGAAAAAAGCATTTGTTTAACCCAAAGTCCACCAGGTAGCCACAAACACATGTCCCATTCACATCCTTTCCATGTTTGGTGCAATACATGAGCTAACTTTCTTATTCCTTCTGTGATTTGTTTCACCACTTTTCTATTTGCAAAAAGCAGTTTGAGTCATTTAATTTTCCACACACTCTCCCTTCTTCTGCTAACAGATAATCTAATGCCATCTGATGTTGAAATACTGCATTCCTCATCTGAGTGGATTTGTCAGCAAGGTGGTCGAGAGCTGTAGCTGTCTGGTTGGTTATTATTTCAAAGACAGCTCGAAACCTAATTATCCAATTTAAATTATAAATAGGTTCTCTGGCATCTGATATTAATACATTGGGATTCCAGGTGTCTGCTCCACAGTATTGCATGATTCACTGAGGTGGGCATTCATCTTTTCCTGACTTTTGGGTGTTCCCTCCATCCAGGGATACATCAATTGACCACTTTTCTCTAATTAGATCATCATATACCTTGATTACTAACTGATTTCCCTTTTAAAAAGTTTTGCAAGAATTGCAAATAGTTGTGAATTAGGCATTTGAGTTGCTTTTATTTCAGTTTTATCTACTAGTAGACTCACTGCTTTGTTGTAAAGACAAATCCCTCATTCCTGTCATAAGTATCACTCTTCTGAACTACACCTTATCCCAATTTGTGCAATTCAAGAGGCCAGGGGCCATTGCTGGTCACCAGGATGGATGAAACTGCCCTTTTTTTTGGAAGAGAAGTGCCAAACAGCCATCCTTGGTGCCATTGTGTACTTGTGTTATAAACCCTGGGGGTCTCCCTGAGCAGAAGAAATCCTATCTGTGATCAACATTCTAGTGAAGAACAGATCCCATATGTGATCAACCTTCTGCCACCAGGGAACACCTGGCAGGAGGAGACACCAATGTATCCTGGCAAGAGACGAAAATCTGGCAAAAGCCATGCAGTCTTGGACACAGCTGGCCAGAATGGGACATTTTGGAGTGCTCCATGATTCCCTCTCTGTCCCTGCATCTGCATTTCCTTCCACAGTCCACGATTCAGTTGGGATGAGGTAGAGACATGGTCACAGTGTTAACAGGCGCTCCAACAGCACATCCCCATTCTCAGCATGGATGCAGTTGGGGCTTATGGAGTTTCAACAATGATTTCCAATAAAACAATTTGTACTGGAGGTTTTTGCCTTCTTGGTATTGGGAGCAAGCTGGCACTTGACTTTCCAGAGATGGAAATAACTTCTAGAACCAACAGAATGATAGCAAATGGCCAGAAGGGAGGAAGCCTCTGCAGTTGTAGGAGTTACTTGCAAACACTGGCTCTACCTCCTGCAGGGAAATGCAGTTTGCTCTGAATGAGGATGAGACCCAAACCCACTCATCCTCCCATGGCTGACCTTCAAGAGTTTATCGTCTTTCCCGGGAAGAACTTGATTTGTTTTATGGTGTTTTTTGTGTGTTTTAGCTGGTTTTTTGTTTGTTTGTTGGTTTGGGGTTTTGCATGTTTTGTTTGGTTTGTTTTGGGGTTTGTTTTGGGTTTCTTTTGGTGATACAATCTGAAACCAAAAGCAGTTAAGAAATGCTCTTAAGAGGGGCACTAGAAAGGTGATAACAAAACCTTATGAAGCAATTCCAGCTGGTTTGGTTCATTTTACAAAGTTTCTTTAAGCCTGGAGCTTTCTAGCCAAAATATCCTAGTTCAACAACTGCATAAG